CCCCAAAACCCCAAAACCCCAAAACCCCAAAACCCCTTTCTTCAAAGAAATTATAGAAAATTTGTGGAAAATGGACAGAATTACAGACCGCATCTACCTCGGAGACATCAATGGATGCTCTAATCTTCATTTGTTAAGGAAGAACAAGATCACTCATATATTGACTATGGCAGCAGGGATTAGACCTTTGTATAGGAAGGAGTTTAAGTACAAAGTTGTTAACATCATGGACCTTCCTACGCAGAATATTCTGGCACATTTCGATAAAGCTATCGAGTTTATTAACAAAGCAGTGGCTAGTGGGGGTAGAGTCCTGGTTCACTGCTTCGCAGGAGTCTCAAGAAGTGCTTCAACAGTTATAGCATACTTTATGGTAACTCGGAGAATGAGCTTTCAAGACGCTTTTAGCTATGTTCAAGCAAAAAGACCAATAATTTTTCCTAATTTTGGATTTCAGCGACAACTCAAAGAGTATGAAAAAGTTATTCAGAAGAGATATCCCTCCAAACAATTAGCATCAATTGATCAAAAGAGCAAAGTTAGCAAATTGGAAGTGAAATTTGCTGGCACGTCTACAAAAAGCCCTGCTATCAAAAAGAATAAATTTGCGATGCTAGATACTAGCAAAGCTATCAAACCATCACAAGACGTAGTTGCACATCAATTGAAGCCAAAACAGTTTCATTATCCGTAAGGAATCCCCCTAATACATAGTTCGGAGGTTGGTAAAAATTCTTCAAGAGTCAAGATCAGAGCTGCGAAGTCATCTTACGGCCATAGTAGGGAGAAGAATAGGGGCTCTTCTTACTCAATTGCTAACATTAAATCATTTGAGAATTCCAAGACTCACAAGCCTAGGAGTAAATTCCTGTCAAGCTTTCATGAGAAAGCGAGCTATCAAAAGTTGGAAGCTAAAAGGGTAACTTTTACCATTCATTTTCTTAGTCGAGTACTAAACCAAAAGCAGGAATCCAAAAATTAGTTGAAGACGAGTTAAATAGAAGGGAAGAAAGCAAACATGTCGTGTTGGAGAAGGCTAAGCATACTAGCAAGGGCTGTTTTGGTAGGAAGCGTAGTCAACAAAAACAGAGACAGACTAAAGAGAGTGAGATCAACATGGTCAGAGGGAATAAGATCTTAAAAACATATTATGACTCAAATAAAAGAAAACAAAAGGAGTTTAATATTAAAACAAAGAAGTCTGCTAAAGAACTTCAGAAAGCTGTATCTACAAAGCCACCTCAAAAGACAAGGTTGCTTACCTATAACTGTCAGTTTTGTGGGCAGAATTTGTTTGATTCTCGGGATATCCAGCCCCATGAGAGCTACTCCAAGACATACACACAAAATTTCTGGCCATCACAAAATAAAGTAGCATCCAAAATAAAATTTCAAAAGATGCCTCGCTGTAACATGTTGTTCATAGCTCAGAAGGACTGGATTACAGAATATGATGGGAACACAGGAAGGATCCTTTGCCCACGGAAAAGCTGCTCAGTGAAACTGGGCAGCTACTCCTGGGCAGGACTCAAGTGATACTGTGGGGTCTACAAATCACCTGCGTTCCAGATCGACATGAAGGCTATCACGGAGGTAGAACAGTCATTTGTTTAATTCTTAGTCCCAACAGTCCAACTAGGAGGAGGGGTTTTGGGGTTTTGGGGTTTTGGGGTTTTGGGG